ATGGAAGTCCAGTTAGGCCAAGGTCTGAGTCGATAAATTTATCCCCATAGAAGCTGCAGCTGTGATGTTTGCCACATTAGATGATGGACTTTTTTATATAGACACGAGGGGGCAGAATTAGGTATCTAGTATTTGCCTGGAGTAAGCTGCTTCTCTAAACATCTGCAGTTTAGATAGGTAAACAGTTCTCTCCTAGGGAAAAGGATATCTCTTTGCTTTTCTGTCTGTAAAATTCATTTTTTCATCAAACACCAAGTACATGTGGCCCAAGTCCATGCTGAATGCTAGGGGTATAACAATGAATTGGGTAGGAACCAACAGGAATTTTAAAGAAGGTGGGAATGGAACGATTAGATTTGTTCTTAAACAACCAGCAGTAATGTAGAAGAAAGTTTGGAGTGGGAAAGCCTCAGTGAGACTGCCTAAGAAGCTCTGCAGTAGCTCAAGCCAGAAATCAGAAGGGCCTGTAGAAGAATAGGGATCCAGTGAAGAGGCTGGATTTAGTAAATTTCTGTGGTAGAGTAGACACAATTTGGGTACCATGTAGATGAGGATGGGCTGTAAGGAAGAGGGAAAAGTCTGGTATGATGAGATTTTTCTTACCCCATGTGAGAATTAGATGCCTGGTGATAATATTCAAGGTAGGAAATAGAGGAATAGGGATAGTTTGGGGAGGACAGTGAGTTCAGTTTGAGAGAGAGCTGCCTACAGCTGCACTGTCCAGTATAGAAGCTACCAAGCACACGTGGATATTACTTGAAATGTGGCTAGTAAAACTGAGGAACTGAATTTTAAATTTTGTTTAAGGACGATTATGGCTGCCATATTGGCCAATACAGGTAGAGAGCATTTCTGTCACCACAGAAAATTCTGTTGGACAGCATGGAGGACATCCAGGCAGATGAATTCCAGTGGGTAGCTGGAACTAGGAGTATGAATCTTGGAGGAGAGATTGGGACTAGGGAGGTGATTTAGAAGTCCCTGGGAAACTAGGGAGTACTAGTGAGGTTGTAGAAGTGGATGAGCTCTCCCAGAGAGTAGAACAAGAAGAGGAGCAGGTGTAAGAAGATTGTAGAGAATACAAGATTAAGGAGGCTGGCAAAAGAAGGAAAGCTTTCGAAGGAGACCCAAGTGTTCCCTCTAGTCCCATATACTTTCTTGCCTCTTCGGTTTTATGTTGTATCTACTAAATATCAAATGCGGTGTCCTGCATGCAGTAGGACATAAACAGAATTTCTTTTTTTTTTTTATTCTTATGTTAATCCCCATACATTACATCATTAGTTTTAGATGTAGTGTTCCATGATTCATTGTTTGTGCATAACACCCAGTGCTCCATGCAGAACGTGCCCTCCTCAATACCCACCACCAGGTATAAACAGAATTTCTAAGAGGTTAATCTTCATTTTAAATTCTTGGAGCATGTCACTGTTACCTTCATGTGGTCATTGAATCAGGTAATTCTGCTCAGGGTGGAGCAGATTAGGCCACCTACAAGAATATCTAATACCATTTTTAGAATACAGGATTAAGAAGTATAATCTTTTGACCCTACCCTATCAATTACCCTCTTCCTCTATACTTTCTTCATGCTCAGCTATGATTTTGCAGATTATGTTTAAATCACTCCCTTGCAGTACCCTACAACTCTCTTGCCCTTATGTCTCTCCTTGTTAACTTATTTCAGGGGTCGGCAACCTTTTCCTGCAAAGGCCATATAGTAAATATTTTAGGCTTTATGGGTCATATGTAGTCTCTGTTGTATAGTCGTTTTTTTTGTTTGGTTGTTTTTGCAACACTAAAAATGTTAAAACAATTTTTAGCTTTGGCCTGTTTAAAAATAAGTCACATGCCAGATTCCGCAGCAATAGTTGGCCTAGCAAGACCTCAGTTTGGATCGACCCAACTCTTCAGTTGTGCCTACATGCATCCTGCTGAGTGTTTTTGAAGGAAATTAGTAACTGCAGATTGGTGTCACCATGGAAACACAATCCCCAGCCTCAACTTCATACAATATGTTAGTGGAATATTTTCTTTAGTGTTCTTGCTCATTGGTATAATGGGTATATTTCATACCTTTTCCTCCTCAAACCTCCCACTTGTCTCTACCACATGCTTTCCATATTGGCAGGGCAGTTCTGGCCAGTGCCAGGTTTGGGCAAACATAAACCCTATTTACCAAAAAGTTACCTCTGTAGCAAAAGGTGTAAATATTGGGAAAAGTGAGGAATTGTAATTTTTGCATTCAACCTACCATAGCATCCATCTTCACTCCATCAGTGGATGAAGCTCTCTTCCTCTAGGCCTTTAGTTCTCACACTTTTGAATGCATCAGTATCACTTGGAAGGCTTGTTAAAACCGATTGCTGAGGCCTACACCCACAGTTTCTGATTCAGGACATCTAGGATGCCAAGAATTTGCTTTTCTAACAAGTTTCCAGGTGGTTCTGATGCTACCGGCCTACAAACCAGAGTTTGAGAACCACTGTTCTAGGACATCCCTTCCACATGCGCTCAGGATTTCACTTACCCCCCACTTTAGTAGGAATGTTGATTTTTAAATTATCCTCCCTTTTCCTTTATCTCATATTTTTTAGTTACTTTGGTACTTAGAACGAGGTCTGTGGACCAGGAACATCAGTATCACCAATGTCAGCTTGTAAGAAATGCAGTCTCAGACCTACTAGGTCAGAATCTGTATTTTAATAAGACCTGTGTGGGCATTCATGTTTGGGAAGCACTGCCTGTGGATCATTATCAGCAAGCAAGCAAGCATGTTCTTGATTTCCTCCTCCAAGCCTGCCCATCTTCCAGTGTTCCATTGTTAGTGGATGGCACCACCATTCATGCAGCTGCTCAGGCTAAACAGGAATTCTCCTTGACTTCTTTCTCACATGTCCTACATCAATTCATCACCAAATTATGTGTGATTTTAGGGTTATATATCCTGCAACTTTACCACTTCCACAGCTTTGATCTTGATCCAAGATGCCCTCATCTCTCACTTGGACTAGTGCTGGTACCAGCTTCTTACCTGGTTACTCGGCTTCTACCCTGTCCCCTGGCAGCTTGTTTTCTTCCAGTCAACCACAGTGATCCTTTAAAAACAGATCTTATATTCCCTTTCAAAATCCTGCCATGGTTCCCCATCATATTTAAAATCAAAACCAAAGCTGAAGTCCTTTTTGTGGTCGGTCAGGGTGTATGTGAACTGCCTTGGCCACCCCTCTCTCTCTCTTTCCTACAGCCCACTTCACTCTAGCGAGACCGCTCACCTCCTTTTTCTTTTGCAGGCCTGGTTCACTCCTGTTTTTTTTTTGTGTGTGTGTGCTTTTTCTTTTTTTCTCTTTTGCATTTTGCTTGCTTGTTTAGTACAATGCTCTTCACCCAAATGACATTCTCTCTCACTTTCTTTAGGTCTTCCCTGATTTAGCTCATCTTATATAAGCAACCCTCATTACTCTTTATTCCCTTATCTTGCTTTATTTCTCCTTCCTGAACTTACTGTTATTTACTTTCTTGCCTGTCTTCGACACTAGGATATAATAAGCTGTAAACCTGTCTTCTCCATTTTAGGCATGGTGCTGCCGTTCTCCTCATTGCTCAAACCAGATGCCTGCAGTGTAGCCTTGATATTTTTTTTTTCTTTCTTCCTTTCCACTGCCAGTCACTCAGTCCTCTATATCTGAAACATTTCATTTCTTATTCTCCACCGCCACTGTCTTATCTGTGCTCTCATCATCTCTTACTTGAGTCACTGCTCATTGATCTACTTGTTCTGCATAGGAGCCAGAGAGAAAGGCTTTACATTAAAAAAAAAAAAATCATCAAATTATGTTACTCCTTGCTTAAAATCCTGCAATGTGTTTCTTTATTCCTTGCCTTACAAGGCCCTCTTTACCAATTCAGCAGGACTGTCTGCCATTTATCCCTTGTTCAAGAAGGGCTATCCCTCGTTCACTTTTTCTCTTTGACTCATTTGTGCTTTCTGTCCCCCTGCATGGAATCCCTCTCTTCTTACTTTTTTGGTTTTTGTTTTTTTAAAAGATTTTATTTATTTGGTAGAGACACAGCGAGAGAGGGAACACAAGCAGGGGGAGTGGGAGAGGGAGAAGCAGGCTTCCCGCTGAGCAGGGAGCCTAATGCGGCTAGATCCCAGGACCCTGAGGTCATAACAACTGAGCCACCCAGGCACCCCTCTTCTTTTTTGAATAGCTCATTCCTTCTCATTCCTAAGGACTCAGCTGAAATGTGACCGACCCAGAGAGATATGCCTTTACCACCGTATTGAAATAGTTTTTTCCAGCCTCCATTATTTTGTCGCATGACTCCATTTGCTTTCTTTGTGTCATTTCACTTTTGCTTGAAAGAACTTTTCAGAAAATGAAATGTAAGTCAGACTGGGAAGAGATATTTAGAATACATATATTTGACAGTGGGCTCATATCCAGAATAAATAACTTGTAAATCCATAATACAAAGAAAACTCAATCAGGCAAAAGATGGGAACAAATACCTCACTAAAGAAGATAGATGAATGAATGGCCAATAAATACATGCAAATGTGCTCACATCATTAACCGTTTGAGGAGTTAAAACCACAATGAAACACTGTTTCACACTGACCAAAATGGCAAATTGACCAATGTGTATCTACTGGAGCTCTTACTCTACCAGTGGGGATGCAAAACGGTACATCGATTTTGAAAAACGGGGCAGGTTTCTGTGACGTTAAACATGCACTTACCATAGGACCTACACGACCTGGAGGAAGCAGTTACACCCATACACATTTTTCAAAACTCATGGAATTATACACTTAAAATCTGTGCATTTTTTTGAGTCCAAACTTTCCTGATATAAAAGCAAAATGAAAAAAACGGCCCCTCTGGGTGAGCGAGCGCCCACAGGCTGGCAATCCAGGCAGCCAGAGGACGCGAAAGCTCAGGGAAAAATGCGGTCGGGGAGGCGGGGACCTGCGGCAGTCCAGCTGCTGTGGCATGCCCCAGCCGGTTGCTGGTTGCAGTTTCGATTTCCTGTCTGCTCTTGAGATTCCCAAGCGGCTCCACCCCTCAGCACTGGGTCTGAGTTCTCTTGTCAGAAGATCTGTGTCAGCCCGCCGCCACCAGGCTTTCAAGAGAGTGGGACGCGGGCGAAGCAGGGACCCCACCGGGAGCCAAGCTGCTAGCATGTCGGCCGAGGATCGGCGGAATCTGCACGCCTTCCGGGACTATGTCACGAAGACTCTGGACCCTACCTGCATCCTGAGCTACATGGCCCCCTGGTTTAAGGACGGTGAGTGGTCCCCAGTGACGCCTGCCCCTTGGAGCCAGGAAACAACTCAGGACTTGCTTTCCCCTTCCTTTTAATCAGCGCGAAGTAGCCTGCTAGGAACGCGGGTGTTGAGGCAAGATCCTCACAGCATTTTAAGACTGGAGATTGCCAGGAGAATTTGAGGAGCCTTTGGAGGTCCAGACGGACAAACAGTCCCAGAGAAGTGAAATGACTTGTGTAGGATTGCACATCTATTTAAGTTCAAAGCTGGGGAGACAAACCATTGTCCATTTCATTTATTTTCTCTAATGGTTATGTCTAAGGTGTCCGGCTTTGTACTGACAGATTCAGGAGTAAGATATAGCCCCCCCCCCCTTTTTTTTGGCTCTTTAAAATACTTTGCAGCCAAGATTTTGGGGGCAGGATACTGGTGAGGACAGATGTACATAAATGATTACAAAATGCTGTCAGAGCTACAAGGTAATTGACAGTTAACTCTTGCCAGGTCTTATTTGCACTTAGTAATAACCAGCTTGAGAGGGCAAGACTCTCTGGACTGAATGGCTACAGGCTTCACTTCCAGTGTTTCTGTCTAGCTTGTGAGACACCTGATGATGGATGAATGCCACTTTGTAAATTTGAATCCAGGTGCACTATGCTGGAGATGCACAGAGGCTTTGAGGAAAGAGGAAAAGGGAGGTGGTGCTTCGAAGGAGTTGAAATGAGAGAGGGCATCTGGCAACTCCTTTTCAGGCTCCAAGTGCCTAAATATCTTTCCTGATGTGAGGCAGTTTGGGGAAATTGTGTGAAAGCAGACACGTAATTTGAGTGCCCATTGCTCTGCAAAAACCACAGGTTGTGGAGTGAGGAGTGAAAGAATACCACCAACAAAAGTGGGCTTCTGCTTTCTATTTGTGCTCAGAGAGAGGTAACAAAGTAACATCCTAATGACCACAGAGTAGCTTGGGCCCCAGAAGAGTGTAAGCCCCTTCAGGACATCTCTTTTAGAAATCTTGTCATGAATGAAACACTAACAAACTGGTGTGAATCCCATTCTTTCTTGCACTCGTGTCGATTCAAGCAACTCATATGTGTTAGGCATTGTGTTAGCATTGGACAGAATTGACACATATTATTACACATATTATCTAATAAGAAGTGTCCTAGTAGGAACTGAGAAATTCATGGTGAGTGTGATAGAAATGGCCCGTAATAGAAGTCAGAGTGCATATGTGAAGGCAGGTTACTAAACAAACCATAGATGACAAAACAGAAGTGCTCTGCCAGAAAACTATAGTGTGCTGTGGGAGCGCAAAGGTGGCATACTTTTTAATATATATATTAGTTTTAATTTGTAGTTATAATGCAATCACATTAAAAATACCAAAAGGTAAATAGGGACAGCAAGCTGAAGAACACTATATGTAATACTGTCTTATTTTTTAATGTTAAAGACACCATAGAGGTTTTATTTCCAGCTCCTTCTCAGAGGAAGCTATTGTCATTTAGTTGGCTTACATCTTTCCTGTTCATTTCTTTATACTTTATCATGTGCACATGTATCCATAAACTTTTTTCTTCCTATCTTTTTCTGTTTTCTGTTAGATTGATAAAGTTTCTCCATCGCCCATTTTTTTCTTGGATGCTTTGGAATCTCTGGAATCTATTAGTTAACTTTAATTGTGACAAGTATATTCTATCAGTCAGGATTCAGTCAGGGAGCTGAGACATGAGTGTTATGGCTGGCTATAAACATTTGGACTCATTTTTTTGCCCTTATAAGTGGGAGCTTATCCACACTCTCCTTATGCCCATACATTCCCCCATGCACACACAAGTACACCAATATGTTTAAATTACACCAGCAATAACCAGTATGTCTTTTACCATAATCCTGCTTTCCACGTGTTGGATATTGTGTACTAGTTGAATCTTGGGAAAGGAGAATCGAAGCCATGTTTCTTCTGGAGACCTTGCATGGTGACTAGGGTACTGCAGGGCTTTGCTTATTCACATATTATCCAGGATGTTTGAAGGTAGACCAGGTTGTGGGCTACAAATTTTTGGTAGTATCCCTTTGGAGTCAAAAGCTAACTCTTATCCTGGAGGAGCCCTGGGTAGTAATCTGGGAGGGAGCAGAATTCTGAGTATTTATCCATTCCTTCAGTAACATGCTCTGGACACATGCATGAGCCAGGCACTTTGTTGATGATTAGAATGCAAAGATGAAGACAAAAATGAATACAACATGTCCATGATCATAGTCAATGGGAAAAGGTAGACTCTCAAACAGTTACTATATACTGTGCAGTGTCAGTGCTCTAGTCAGAGGCATGTAAAGAGACCAAGAAAGCACAGAAAAGAGATCAAGAAATTCCACCTTGGGAAGCTGAGGATGGCATCACAGAGTGGCCAGCATGGCAAAGGTAATACTGACAGCCAAAAATAGAATTTTCTCTGCATCGGACTCCCAGTACTTTTGAGGAAAGTAGCACTACTTAGAAGCAGTTATCGGGGCCAGGTAGCAGCAGGATGGGCCCGACCATGTGCAGAGTAAAGCTAAACTGCCCCTGATACAGCAAGACAGTTTAACTGGGAAAGGCTCAGCTGTGAGTGGGATATATCTGGGCCTTCATGTGGAGTGTCAGTAATGGCTGGTAGCATGTCTGAGGAAAGAACAAACAGCAGGGAGGCCTGGGAGTAAGAACCCAGCTCTAAGGATGGGGTTTAGGAACAGGATTAACTCTCTTAAAGGAATAGAGTTAAATTGTGTGCCCAGAAAAGTTGGGATAGGTGATAAGATAGGTTGCTTTTATGGGTTGAATTATGTCCTCCCCAAAAAAGATATGTTGAAGTCCTAAGCCCCAGGACCTCAGAATGTGACCTTATTTGGAAATAGGATCTTTATAGAGGTAATTAGTTAAGATGAGATCATACTGGAGTAGGGTGGGATCCTAATCAATGTGATTGGTGTCTTTATAAGAAGATAGCCATGGGAAGACACAGAGAGACAAAGGGAATGTCATGTGAAGACAAAGGCAGAGGTTGTAGTGATGCGGCCACAAGAAAGAGGCAAAGATTTGATGTGCCCACAAAGGCCCACAAAGGCCACCAGCCACTAGGAGCTATAAGGGTTGTATTGTCCCTTAGAACCTTCAAAGGAAGTGTAGCCCTGCCAACATCTTGATTTCAGACTTCTGGTCTCTAGAACTGTGAGAGAATAAGTTTCTATTGTTTTAAGGCCAACCAGTTAGTGCTAATTTGTTACTGCAGCCACAGAAAACTAATATAGATAGCTAAAATTAAAAAAAAAAAAAGTGTTGGCAAGGATGTGTGGAAATTGAAATCCTCATTAATTGCTGGTGGGAATGTAAAATGGTGCAGCTCCTTTGGACAGCAGTTTGATAATTCCTTACAGTGTTAAATGGAGTTACCATATGACCCAGCAATTTCAGTTAGGCATAAATTCAAGATAAGTGAATACATACGTCCACATAAACACTTGTACATGACCGTTCATAGCATTACTACTCATAATAGCCCAAAATTAACTAATGACTAGGTAGACAATATGTAGTGTATCCATACAATGGAATATTACTCAGCAATAAAAAAGGAACGAATGATATAAGCTACAACATGGATGAACCTTGAAAACATTATGCTAAGTGAAAGAACCCAGTTACAAAGACCACATATTGTATGATTTCATTCATTTGAAACGTCCAAAGTGGGCAAATCTGTAGAGACCCAAGTGGATTAATGGTTGCCTGGGTTTAAGGGGGAAGGGAGATGGGAGTGACTGCTAGGGGCTACAAGATTTCTTTTTACAGTAATGACAGTGTACTAAAATTAGATAGTGGTGATAGATCCACAGTTCTAGAAACCACTGGGTTTTACACATTAAAATTGTTAATTTTATTGTTCCCAAGACGGAGACCTTGGCAGAAAAGGAAGCTATCCCTTCCTTTCTTCATTCATTCAGTATACCTTTGTGGAGTGTCTATACTGTGCTAGAACGTCCTCTTCTAATCTCTGAGGATACAGCAGTTAACCAGACTTATTGCTTGGAATTTACATTCCACTGACATTAAGGGGGAAAAAAGGAACACTATCAAATGTCAGGTCATGTGTAGGCAACCATTTGATCATCACTGCCCCAGACATGGAGGTAGTGTACAAAGTCGTGTGACCACCAACAGTTTGGTGGATAGTATTCTGCACCCTGGCCTCATGTTCTGTTTAGCTCCTCTTGCTTTTTCTTTTCTCCCGTATTTCATACTGTCTAAGCAAAAACCTGGAAAGAGGACCACGAAAGCATCTTTTTTATTTCTAACTCTGTTTTCTGAGTCTGGTGTAATTAAGGATGCCAAGGAGTAGTCCTATCCTCACACTTTTGTAGTCCTGCTTTTAATTCAGACTTTTGAACAAGGGAGTATCCAAATGTTGGAGAAGCCTTTGTTCCTCCACCTAATCCAGTGTTACAGTGGTTTCTCCTTTGTTATGGGGATACTTTTTCACACATCATTAAGAGACTCCCTTTTTAAAGGATTGCCATGGAATATGTTCCCAGACTCCCACACCAAACTAGGAGAAGTTTCTAGAGAGGATGGGAGGTGGGAGGGAAGGTCGGTTGGTGAAGAATGGGCATCATCTGCCTGAACAGAGAATTTGCTGCCTTCTCGCAGTTCCTTCCATTGCTGGGATTTGTTACAATCGCCATCCCCATTTGAGAAAGTCTGACAACCCTTTTCAGGTTTTTCTTCCAGTGATTAGTGGTTGTGCAGTTTGATGAGCCACTCTTGCTTCTGTTTGTAGATGAGGTACAGCATATTCAGGCTGAGAAAAACAATAAGGGCACGATGGAGGCTGCCTCACTTTTTCTTAAGTTCCTATTGGAGCTCCAGGAAGAAGGCTGGTTCCGTGGCTTTTTGGATGCCCTTGTTCATGCAGGTTAGTTCATTCTTCTTACTCATGAATCAGAGGATATTATTTGACTGTTTCAGAATGCTGTAAAAGTGAAATGCTATTAATTTTGAGCTATCCTCATGTGTCTCATGTCTCTTAATTGGATGCAATGTAAAGATTATTTTCAGTCACATAATATAATTGCCTACCTGAAATAGCCAAAGGAATCTGCAGAGAGATTATTGGGAGAGTTTAACAAGTTCATTGGATATAAGATTAGTATACAAAAATTAGTTGCATTTCTGCACCATACCCAAAAATAAACTCAGAATGGATTAAAAAACTTAAATATAAGACCAGAAGCCATAAAGTTCCTAGAAGAAAACATAGGCAGTAATATCTTTGACATCAGTCATAGAAACATTTTTCTAGATTTATCTCCTTTGGCAAGGGAAATAAAAGCAAAATTAAACTATTGGAACTACACCAAATAAAAAGCTTTTGCCCAGCAAAGGAAACCATCAACAAAACAAAACAACCTGCTGAATGGGAGAAAATATTTGCAAATGACATATCCAATAAGGGGTTAATATCCAAAATACATAAAGAACTTCTGCAATTCAACACCAAAAAATCAAGCGATCTGATTAAAAAATTGGCAGAAGACATGAACAGACATTTCTCCTAAGAAGACATACAGATGGCCAACAGACACATAGAAAGATACTCAACGTCACTAATCATCAGGGAAATGCAAATCAGAACCACAATGAGATACTGAGATACCACGATGATATATCACCTCACACCTGTCAGAATGGCCAACACAACTAATAAGTGTTGGTGAGGATGTGGAGAAAAAAGAACCCTCGTGCACTGTTGGTGGGAATGCAAACTGCCACAGCCACTGTGGAAAACAGTATGGAGGTGCCCCAAATATTAAAAGTAGAATTAACATATGATCCACTATTGGGTATTTACCCAAAGAGAACGAAAATACTAATTCAACGGGATGCAGGCGCCTCTATGTTTATTGCAATATTATTTACAAAAGCCAAGATATGGAAGCAACCAAAATGTCTATCCATAGATGAATGAATAAAGATGTGGTATATATACAATGGGATATTACTCAGCCATAAAAAAAAAAAAAGAACGAAATCTTGCCATTTGCAACAACATGGATGGATCTAGAGGGTATAATGCTAAGTGAAATAAGTCAGTCAGAGAAAGATAAAGACCATATGATTTCACTTATATGGGGAATTTAAGAAACAAAGTGAACAAAATAAAAAAGAGACAAATTAAAAATAGACTCCTAGATATAGGGAACAAATTGGTGGTTGCCAGAAGGGAAGTAGGTAGGGAGGTAGGTGAAACAGATAAAGGGGATAAAGAGTACATTTATCATATTAAGCACTGAGTAATGTATAGAATTGTTGAAGCATTATGTTGCACACTTGAAACTCATAAAACACTGTATATTAATTATACTGTAATAAAAATAAAGCACTAAAATTAGCTGCATTTCTAGCCACTGGAAGCAAATAGAAAATGTAGTCCAAAATGAATATCACTTAGAATAGTTACAAAAGTTGTGATATATTTAGGAAAAATGTAGCAAAAGGTGTGTAAAGTCCAAATGGAGAAAATGATAAAATGTTATTGAAAGATATTAAAGAAGTCCTATCTAAGTGGAGATATATACCCATGCACATGGAGAGAAAGACTTGATACCATAAAAATATCTGCTCTTTCAACACTGATTTTTGTATTCAATACAATTTTAATAAAAATCCTACATGCTTTTTCATGTGCTTGACAAATTTCTAAATGATTTTAAAATGTAAATGGAAGAATTATGATCCAAGAATAGTCAGGACATTCCTGAAGAAGAAGACTTAAGTAGGCTGGGGTTTCCCCTTCTAAATAGCAAGATTTATGCTAGGCATTGAGACAGCATAACGTTGGTCCTGGCATTGACCAACTGACCAATGAAATAGAATAGAGAGTCTTCAATTAAATTCATATATTTATGAAAACCTGATATATTTGAGATCACTGGGAAAGGAGGATCATTAGGAACAGAGGGGCTTTTAATAAGTTGCAGTGGGCCATTATAAACAGGATAATGTTAAAAACCAAACAAACCCTAAATTACATACCCATGTAAAATAAATTTGTATTCCTTAGCTCATTCCATTCACACATACGCACAAAATGAATTAATAAGAATTAAAGACTTAATTCTAAAAGGCAAAATTTTAACAATTTTAGAAAAGAATATAGAATAATATTTTATAACCTTGGGGTATGGCAGGATTTATGAAACAAAAAAGGTTTTACCCAAACCTTGGGGTATGGCAGGATTTATGGATACAGCATTATCCATAAAAGACAAATTGATATATTTAATGACATTAAAATTAAAAACATCTGTTTGTCAAACACAAAAGAAAGTGAAAAAACAGGCACAAACTGGGAGAGGATCTTTGCAAAATATATAATCACCAAAAAGATTAATATCTAGAATATATTAAAAAGGCCTTAAAATCATTTTGGAAAAGAAAACATCTACAGGGCAAAAGTGTGAACTGACATTATAAAGAATAGGGAGTAAGAAAGCTTGATAAACATATGAAAAGATTTTCAGCCCAAATAGCAATTAGGGAATTGTGAATTAGGAACTCAATGAGATAGCATTTTATTAACTACTAGATAGCAAAACTTAGGAAGTCCAACAATGCTAAGGCTTGAAGAGGATATTTAATCATGGGAAATCTTAAGTGTCACTATACAGAGTGTAAATTAATGCAATTATTTTGAAAAACAATTTGGCATCATCTAATATAGTTCAACTCTCTTGTATCCACCTGTCCAACAGTTTCATTCTTTTTTTTTTATTGTGTTATGTTAGTCACCATACATTACATCATTAGTTTTTGATGTAGTGTTCCATGATTCATTGTTTGCATATAACACCCAGTGCTCCATTCAGTACGTGCCCCTCCTTAATACCCACCACCAGGCTAACCCATCCTCCCACCCCCCTCCCCTCTAGAACCCTCAGTTTGTTTCTCATGAGAGTCCATCGTCTCTCATGGTTCATCTCCCCCTCCGATTTCCCCCCGTTCATTTTTCCCTTCCTACTATCTTCTTCTTTTTTTTTAACATATAATGTATTACTTGTTTCAGAGGTACAGGTCTGTGATTCATCAGTCTTGCACAATTCACAGCGCTCAGCGCTCACCATGCACATACCCTCCCCAGTGTCTATCACCCAGTCACCCCATCCCTCCCACCCCCCCACCACTCCAGCAACCCTCAGTTTCCAACAGTTTCACTCTTAAGTATGTACCCTAGAAAAACTCTTGCACATATATTGCAGCATACACATACAAAAATGTTCATAGAATAATTGTAATAACAAAAGCAAGCAACCAACCAAACAAAACTGGAAGCAACCCAGTATCCTTCAAAAAGAAAATGGATGATAAAATTCTATAATAGTCACATGATGGGTCCACTGTACTGCAGTGACAATGTATGAACGCAGCTACAGACAACAAGACAGCTGAAGCTTTGAAATGTAATAGTAAACTTTTTAAAAAGCAGAGGAAAGTACATTTAGTAGGATGTAATCATGAAGTTCCAAACAAGCCAAACTAAACATGTATTGTTTTTTTAAAGCCTTTATTTTTTTTTAAAAAATTTTTAGATGCTTTGTTTATTTGAAAGAGAGAGAGTGCACATACACACATGAGCAGGGGGAAGGGGCAGAGGCAGAGGGAGAAGCAGACTCCCCGCCGAGCAGGGAGCCCCATGTGGGCCTCAGTCCCAGGACCCATGAGATCATGACCTGAGCAGAAAGCAGACGCTTGACTGACTGAGTCATCCATGCACCCCTAAGCATACATTGTTGAAGGAATCAAGTGTATGCCATGCAACTATTCAAAAAAATGAAGGGAGTGATACATCAAATACAGGATGGTAGTCTCTTTGCAGGGAGGTGAAAAGGTGGGGAAAAAGACGGCACACTCCCACAAAAGTACTGGGAAATCCTAGTTAAGTTGGGTAGTGGGTTCCCATGTGTTCATTTTGTTGTTAGGCTCTTTATAGCCAAATGAAAAGAATATGGGCTGTATAGTCAGACAAATCTGGTGATTTTATTTGAGAAACTTAGATTGAAGCATTCTTGAATTATTACAGTTGGAAATAATTTTTTTTCTCCTCATATTTCCTATTATACTTAATATTCTTTTCTGGGAGTAATGTAGAAGGTTAAGTTCCTAAGAGGCAGGAATTAAGACTTATATTTCCTTTTGCCCACTTTGCTACTTTGCACTGGGAAGATAATAATTTCATGATGATTTAACTCACTGGAAGACAAGTCAGAGGTTGTAGGTGAGGTCCACGGGGCACTTGGAACTAAGACCAAATGTAAGACTTCACATTATCCTAAGTACTTTTTCCTAAGAGAGGAAAAACTTTGTTAGAGGACCTAAAATGTTGGCTGCCTATAATAAATACTGAGTTTGCTTTTTGAAAGATCATTAATTATTGAGGTGATTTACAGATATCTTTTGAGTTCTCTTACTATATACATTCAAACATGATTCCTATGATAACAATCTTAAAATATCTTTTAGTTGGTTTCATAAAAGCCCCCATTTTCTTCTTTCTTTCCAGGTTATTCTGGACTTCATGAAGCCATTGAAACTTGGGATTTCCAAAAAATTGAAAGTCTAGAGGAGTATAGAATACTTTTAAAGCGTTTACAACCAGAATTTAAAACCACAGTTAATCCAAAAGATATCCTTCCTAAAATATCTGAATGTTTAATTAGTCAGGAATGTGAAGAAATTATACAGGTAATTTAATTAATTTATTTAGCAAAATTAATTATAATTAATTTAATTTAATATAAAATACTAAATTGGGGGGAGGTAATTTGAACATGGGAAATGTCTTCTGTTTTCTCCACTGATTTAGACCTGAGAAAGATCATTGAAATCCACAGAAGTCCTCAAATCTAAGGCATAATTACCTAGAATAGTATTTTTAGTTGTGAATTGAGTAATTTTTAGTGTCACGAGTTTTTTTCAGGTTTGCCCTATTTTCAGTTAAAATTATTATTACTTTTGTGAATAATGTTCTATGCAAATTTTAAGTTGAACACTTTAGCAAATAAAAAGAACAAAAGCTGTAGACTCTCATGGTTGAGCATTCAGGCTCTGCACACAAATCTTGTTAGAATCCTAGTTCAGCCATTTACTAGTAATATGATCTTAGGCAAGTTAGTTTCTCTAAACCTATTTCTTCACATAAAATGGAAATAATAATAGTACCTTATTAACATGATATTTTTAGAGGGATTAAATGAGATAATATATGTAAAGTGCTTACATATGCCTGGCACATAATAATAAGTGCTCAATAAATTTTAGTTATGATGAATAATAAAAATCACATAGGTCCCATTATCCTGAAAAAATTTTTGTTAATATTTTGTTATATTCTTCCAAATATCTCTCCATGCCAATATACCCATATTTTGAATGGTTGTCAAATGGATTGTTTCCTAATATTGCTGAGGATGATACATATAAGGTCTCAGAGGATGTGAAAACACCTGGCTTGACATAGCAATGCCATGTGTAAAGACAATGACAAAGGAAAGGGTGTCTTAAAAGACACTGTGTTGGATGGGGCAAAAATGGTCATGAATAAGACCTATTAAACCATAGTATACAATTATTTTAAGTCAGTTATTGCTTGAATTGATATTTCTTCAATAAAAACTCATAAAAGGAAAACTTTTAAAATGATTGATTGATCAGCTGCAGTTGTCTTGCTTAGGTTTGTTCCAACAAGGGGCTGATGGCAGGTGCGGAGAAAATGGTTGAATGCCTTCTCAGATCAGACAAGGAAAACTGGCCCAAAACTTTGAAACTTGCTTTGGAGATGGACGAGAACAAGTTCAGTCAACTGTGGATTGTGGACAAAGGTAGGATATTCCAGGGAAGAGCTCTGAAAGGTTGGGAGGGTCTGAAAACATGTTCTACCTTTCTCATAGTTCTACTTAGGGTCTCTTTCATTCCTACCTGTCTTTCACTCACCGTCAGAGGCATTTTGCCCTTCAGAGACCCATGGCTACATCTCTAGTGAGAGAGCAGCATGAAATTGAGCTCTGGGAAGCAAGTGGCTACTTGCCTACAGAAGTAATTTGGTTGTGTGTAACCCCTAAAATGGACCAGGGCAAACTGCTCTCATCCAGAATTAACCCATCTGGTCCAAAGGATTTGGGGAAGGCAGAATCTGAGCTCACTCTCTGGGTCTAGATTATCAGAGAAATAGCTTTAAAATTCTAGAGTGAAAGGTTCAAACTCCAGGACTTGCCCCCTTTTCAGAGTAGAATCATAATAGACATAGCCTACTTCTCTTGCCTGAGCCATCAGGAACTAAGCCAGAACAGGATTGAAAAAGGAGTATCTGTGCCATCATGTGATTTCCTGAAGCTAACCTCTGCTCAGAGCATTGTTTTAAAGTCTGAGTTTGGTAAATCAACTGCCTGGTCTTCGCTTGTCCTAGGCTTCTTTACATCACAAGTTGTTCTAGAAAATGTCTATATATATAAATACCCATCTGATTTCTTGGGTTAAGTCAGGAATGGAAGCCATAAATGTCTGCTAAGTGGTGCTTCTCTTCTTTACTGTCTGTGAGAATCACCTGGGGATTTTGTTAAAATGCAGATTCTGACTTAGTAGGGACACAGCCTGCATTTCTAACAAGCTCTGGAAGTTGCTGGCCCATGTTTCACACTTTGAATAATAAAGTCCTAAATGACATTGAAGTTCAGACTGCAAATTGAGACATCACACTCAAAAAGATTCTTTTCATTGTTTTAGAAGGTGAAAGGGAGTGGTTGTGAGAAATTTTAATGGAGCTGAAAATTTTAGGATTATGACCTCTTTGTAGGACTTGTGCTATCAAGACAATCATCAGATTAGATCAAGATTCTAAGATGCTTTTTGGTCTCATACAGATGCAAAAAATGCTGAATCGAAAGTTCTTGAGGATGATGAAATAGAAACTTCTGACATACAGATTTTCTATAAGGAAGAACCAGAATGCCAGAATCTTAGTCAGAACTTATCTCCACCTTCAGGTACCCAGCATTGTTCTTTTCCATAATGGTATTCTTTGGGTATTTTGTGTGGGGACATGGCCTGCAGTGCCCAAAGCCATAGTGTTATGAAAGGGTTTTAAAGGAAAAGTAAGAAAAGATCATTTATCTTTTTTAAAGAAAAGATAATTTATATTAGAATAGATACTTTTTCTATAATGAAAACATATTATTCTCTCTCTTCCAAAGCTATTGTCAGCCTCTTTTATTTTCTTTTGTCACTAAGAACATATGTGCATGTCTACATTGAAAATGCACATAGGGTCCTCCCAGAAACTTAGTGTCTATGAAATCTAAAATCAGCTCTGCTCTCTAAAGAAACACTAATATTTATGAATCACTTGCTCACTTTCCTTTTACTATCCCAGGGCTGCAGTGTAAGTTGATGAAGTTTGTGCACTGCACAAATGTACCCAGCTGAGCTTGAGTGAGGACTGAGATCCTGCCTGTGCTATTTGCCAAACAGTGCACAGAAGGGCTGTATCCTTCCAGAGGGTCTCCTTTTTCTAATTTCACACAAAGGCACTGTATAACTTAGGTATAAGGCCCACCTTGTCTTTCTAGAAGCATGTTTTCATGAGGGGACCAGAAAGTTGCATAATGAGCCACAGTAAAAAGTTTTTTACAAAAGAACATCAGGGAAGACATTCTGATTAATACTGGGTAGTGTGAGAAGAAAGGTGTGATTTGGGGATAACACCACAAGAAGATCTACAGATTACTTCTGCAACCAAATGATACAAGTTTTCTTGTCATTTCAGAGTAAAATCACTGAATGTAAATTGCTTTAAATTTTTCTGACATGTAAGGGACTTTAGTGAACTCACTTAACCTTTTAAGTTCCTTTTCTTTAAAATAGGTTGGAGTCAATAGATGACTTCTAAGGTCTTTTCTAGCAGTAACATTCCATACGCTTATCTGTTGTGGAAAAAAGCCTCTGGTTATTTTTTGAAACTTCTGGTCCTATTGAGAGAAGATACCATGGGAGAGCCTGCAGAATTATAAAGCATGGTTGCTCTTCAATAAGAGATTGCTCTGGGAATTCATTGTTTATAGTTTGTTGCTTTTCAGAGATCTAGGAGGGATTTGTTGTTTTGTTCCATATAGCATTTCCTTTTAACCAGTGGCCATCTGTCTTGCCCTGAATTAGGCCATTCTTGCTTTAGTTTCTCCTTACTAGACTTCCAAGGTTATTTAAGAAAGAAATCTTTGTGGCTTTTTCAAAGGATTCTTGCCATTGGGACTTTGTCACTGAGGGAGAATTTTGTACTTCACATCAGTGCTGAGGCTGGAATGGTTAACAAGAGTCAAGGATTCTAAATTTTCTTAAATGAGGCCCTTTTTTGCTAAAGTCAGAATTCCTGTCTATTTGATGACAGCTCTTTCCTTGATTCCTCAGAACTGTAACTACTTGGTAATTTTGTTCCTTTTGTATTACATAAGCCTCTCCTACTTGCACCCCACTGAAGCCAAGAAATTACCAACTAGAGCTCGCTTTGCCTGCTAAGGAAGGAGAAAACACAATAATATGTGCTCCTACTGGTAAGTTGATTGCCACTACTTACATGGTTTGTTTCTGTGTTTGCTTCCTTTTTTTTCTTGTATTGAATACTGGGACAAAATGGACAAGTTTCCATTTTTTCCTTGCTCCATATATCTTTTGAGAAAACTTTCCCATTAATATAGTCTCCAGGTATTTTAAGGAACCTGAGGAAGGAAAGAAAAATGCTCTGTTTTAGCTTGCTTTATGCCTTGACTATTTTATTTGCATGTTACCTAGGAAGTAACTTGATATTTTTCTGTCCTGGTATAAATTCTGTCGACATTCCTAGTTTATTAGTTGGTGCAGTGGTTTTAGGGGAGCCAAAAATAATTACCTTTCTATAGAAATATTTTAGTATAATATCAATTACATGTTTTCTTTTTCTTTGTATGTTAAAAGGTTGTGGAAAAACGTTTATTTCCCTTCTTATATGTGAACATCATCTTAAAAAATTTCCACAAGGACAAAAGGGGAAGGTTGTCTTTTTTGCTATTCAACTCCCAGTGTATGAACAGCAGAAATCCGTGTTCTCCGAATATTTTGAAAAACTTGGGTAGGTATAACAGTTGGTCCCATTTCTTTTTCTCTAGCTTCATTTAACTGGTGTGTATTCAGCTTAGTTTAATTTTGGAAAGCTAGGATTCAAAAATTTATAATAGATTTAGCTTTTATATAATCTAGATGTAATTAATTTTTCATGGATGCAAGTCTCTTTTGTTAGGTATGCTTGAAATCCTAAACTCCTTTGATTAGCTCTTGCAGAGTAAGTAAATGACTTGAGATCAGTTTTACATTTAAATGACACATTTAACTTTTTAATGATTTTATAACTTCTTTAATATTACTCTTTCCTTTAAGTACTATTTTCTTAAGACTTGAAGGAATTAACATACTCTACTAGCAGTTTTAGCTGGCTTGCAGCTGTTGACCATTTACTATGTGTATGGCTCTGTGCTAAGCACTTGTCTCCCATATATTCCTTTTGGAGTTAGGGAGAACTTAATCAGTTAATGCTCTGACCTAGTGTTTCATGTCTTTATGGTTCCTCATTCACATCATGGTTGGTAATAGGGAATTTCTGTCATTTCCCAGGTACAAAGTTGCAGGTGTTTCTGGAGCAACATCTGAGAATATCTTAATGGAACAGATTGTTGAGAACAATGACATCATCATTTTAACTCCACAGATTCTTGTGAATAACCTTAGAAATGGGACTATTCCATCACTCTCTGTCTTTACTTTGATGATATTTGATGAATGTCACAACACTGGTAAACACCATCCTTATAATATGATCATGTTTAATTATCTAGATCAGAAACTTGGAGATTCTTCAGACCCACTGCCTCAGGTATTTCCAGAGTCGGGTGGATTCCTCAGAAGAGCTATAACCATCTTAAATCCTATTTACTTACTCTACTGACCACATTGAGGATGGTCTTCTCAGGTCCTAAGTCCATATTGTATAGTTCATTAATTTTTATTTGTTCATTCACTTATTCACTTAACAAATATGCATTAGGTGCCCCCCTGTGTTATCCACTGTGCTAGGCACTGGGGATACAAATATAAAAAGACATAAATCTCAAACAGTTGAAGTTTCATGGGGAGCCAGACATGTAAGAATTGTGTCATAATATATGGTGATGGCACACTATGGAGATGGGTACGGTGTAGTCAGAACAGAAGTGAAAACTCGTAAGTGTGCTGTGAAAGTAAGACAAAACGCAACAGAAGTTAGGTAAAAACTAACAAGAATGTACAAGGTAGATAACTGGATGGTTTTCAGGAAGCACTACTGTGTGTCCAGAGGCACAGAGGTATGAGAGGACATGGTGTGCCCAAGAGTCCTGAAGGTCTTACATATCATTTGAGTGTAAAATGTGAAGTGGTAAATAGCAATAGGTGAGGCAGAGTGGGATAGAGGGAATGATCGATAGAACAAGATGTTAGGAGAGACCAGAGGGTATGGGATAAGTAGGCAGGAATGTGCATTAGTAGAGAAGAGCAGATGGGACACCATTTTTGGTGTCATCAGAGGTGAGGGTGTGAGAAGAGTCAAGAGAGAGAGTAGTAGTTCTTAGATGGGGACAGGAAAGGTAGGGAATCCCTGGCATTTAATCTCTCTTTTCTCTTATGTGTAGAAGAGGTAGACAAATTATTTGCTGAGAATAATCAAGATAGGAATGGGGGAAAGAGCTCAAGATACATGGAGAGAATTTGAAATGAAAGAGAGAACTAAGAGGAATATATAGAAGAATTTCTTGGTTACATTAAGGATCCAGATGAGGTTGGAAACCCTGAATTTATAGTATACCAATATCACAGTACCTAAAGTTCTCTAGCCCTAATAACTACCTGTTTAGGAAGCATAGGTTAGAAGAAATTCAGTATGGTACCCATAGACAAAATTCAGTAGCAATCACATTTCTTACAGCTTTTTGTTCTAGAAAAAAAATTGGTGGTTGATTAGATTCCTTGCTAATGAGTCAATTATTCAGTGTTTACTGAGTGGCTATTCAAGGAAGACATAAATTATTAGGTGACCATTAAGCTAATTTTTTTTTTTTTTTACAAATGTTATCTTACTGAATTCACACACCCACCATTTTATTTTATTTTATTTTATTTTATTTTATTTTTTTAAAGATTTTATTTATCTATTTGAGAGTGAGAGAGCACAAGAGTGGGGAGCGGGAGAGGGAGAAGCAGACTCCCCGCTGAGCAGGAAGCCCGATGCGGGACTCGATCCCGGGACTCCAGGATCATGACCTGAGCCGGAGGCAGTCGCTTAACCAACTGAGCCACCCAGGCGCCCCACACACCCACCATTTTAAATAGCTATTGTTTCCCAACTTTAAAGAGAGCTGAAGATACTTGTCCAAGAATCCACAGCCAGTGTGACATGGTTGCGTTTAGAATGAAGTTGTGTCTGATTTGGTCCCTTTCCTTTTAGTATGTTGTTCTGCATATCATGTAGGACACAAGGGTAGAGAAGAAAGAAATCCTGCCTTGAAATGGTTTTTGCTCTTGGTTTCTTTGCTAATTCGTGTTCATTTGATAAGTTGTGACTCCTGCTTTGCCTAATGGGGACCTTTCCATTTGCAGTGTCATAGAGAATATCAGGGAAAAAATTAGTTTTCTTACTCTTTAATTAGTAAAACAAACAAACAAACAAACACCCCTACTTTAGCAGGAAAGGGTTGCATGGGGGAGTGTGGAAATGGCATGCTGTTTTCCAGATGTCTGACAATTTGGAATGATCCTCACAGGTCATTGGGCTGACTGCCTCGGTTGGCATTGGGGATGCCAAAACCACAATGGAAGCCATAGAATATATCTGCAAACTGTGTGCTTCTCTTGACACATCAGTGATAGCAACAGTCAAAGACAACTTGGAGGAATTGGAAGAAATTGTCTATAAGCCCCAGAAGTGTAAGTGGAATCCAGTAACAAGCCCTTTAGAACTTCGTTGCCCTCTGCTTTTCCTAGTTCAGAGACATTTGGATGAATACTGAATTTTTACCTTTTCTGTTTGGTAGAAAATATTTAACCCCAAACTTGGGAAATAATTACATTTCATGCCTCTTTCCTCAATCAAACTCTGTCCTCAAGCAATGGATGAACCTCAAGAGTGTGGACTGTTGAAAGCAAACATTCTTACTCTTCAGTTTGATAAAGTTCTTTTTTTGTTTTTGTTTTGTTTTTGATAAAGTTCTTATAAGGATACTAACAATGAGAGAGACAAGATGAGAAAATCAAAGCATGTAAATGGCCAAGAGCTGGGCTCAGTCCTTCCCTGAGTTGCACACCTGAGGAGGATACTGTGTGATCATTCATTATTTGAATAATGTATCTGATGATATGGGTTGAAATGAAATTAATCTGAGTTCATATTTTTCCTCAGCAGATCAATATGATTTTTTAAAAAGATTGACCAGCAAATGTTTACTAAATTCCAATGCTATACTAACCCAGCAAGAGACAGCAGAAGAGGAGACATATATGCCTTCATCCTTGCTCTGGGGATAGTGTATGACTGAATGAGGCATCGCAAACACACATTAAATAGCCAGGGAGGGGCAATTCAGTTCCTTCCTGGGAGTTGCCTGTAAGGAGTTTAGGGAAGGTACCCAATCTAAACTTTTTAGTACCAAGTACAAACTTCTTTGGAATCCAGTCCCCTCTGCCCTCTGTACTTCATTGCCCCCTCCTATAAGTCTAACCATGCTGCATTCCTCTGGGCTCCTCAAGTGCATTTCCTTCATTCCTCTTTCCCTAGTTATCCCCCAGCATTTCCTCCTTTGGAAGAATTAGAGATTTCCTTCCTTGTGCCCCTTGACACCTGGCACATACTTACATTATGGCAGTTTACTGTGGTTATTTGGCTAATGTACCTTTCTCTCCCCTGAGAACACAGACCTCTCTGGAGCACAGACTGTGTTCTTTTCAACTGTTTATCACCAGAACGTGCCACGTGGTAGGCAGTTATTAAATTTCTGCAGAAACAATGCAATAATGAATTTTAGGAACAGTGTGAGCGCTTCTGGGGGTTGGGTGGGAAAGGAGAAAATCAAAGAAGAGAGGGTTAAAAAGTGTTGTACTTGCAGAGATAAGATGGATACCACCCTTGTCAGAGTAGAGGCTCCATGTTGAGTAACAGGAAAACCAGAATGAGAAGTTGGATTAGACCCAGACCATGAAAGACAGAGATGTTAGAATCTGTACATTAAGCACTCGGGAGCTCTTGCAAGGTTTTTGAGCATTTGATACATCATTTAGACTACCACCCTGTGAGCTTGGGGCCTCAGGTCTTGCAGAAGTAACAGAGGCAGACAAAGGTGTGCAGATGCCTGCTTCGAACTATGATGTGTTCTTCCTGAAAAATACTCACTTTGTTTTAATGGCTTTAGTTTTCAGGAAAGTGGAATCACGGACTACTGACAGATTTAAATGCATCATATCACAGCTGATGAGGGAGACAGAGAGTCTGGCAAAGAATATCTTTGACAAACTCGGTACCGTAACTCTCGGTGAGATAAATCTCATTTTGTATTCTCTCCATTTAGGAATAACCATATATTGTTCACTAGTGTCTTTTTGCATTCTCTTCAGTTCAGACAGGGTCAAGACCGTAATCAAGAGGTTAACTTTCCTGATTATAGGTTATTCAGGAAACCTGTAAGTCCTCCTTTAGTCTCTCTTCCTTTTTTTTTCTTTTTAAATTCAAAGTAAATCTCTGGACATACATACCTGAACAATACCATATTTAAATCAGTTCATGGCTTTCAAATTAGCTAATTTGAAAAGTTCTAAGTTCTGACTTCCCCATTTATATGAATGAAACCACCATTTCCCTGATGGCTCAGATTGCAACAGGCAGTGATCTTCGATTCTTCCTCTTTTGAGACTCTCTCATGAAGTTACCAAGTTCTCTTCTCTCTTTTGTTCTTTCATTCATTCACCAGATACTCATTGTGCCAGCTAATGGAAAGGACAAGGTTAAAGACATAGTCCCAACCTCAGGGAACTCACAGTCAATAATGAGAATCAGATGTGAGTAGCTCCCACACAGCAGGGCAGAGGTACAACCTCGGTGCCTTGAGAGCACGTAGGAACTTTGGCCTGGAATGAGCTGCAGGGAAGCTTCCTGGGGTGGGGTGGTGCCTGAGGCAGTCTTGAAGTCAGCCAAGCTAAGAAGGAGAGACAACCACGTGAGGTTGAAAAGGCATTGATGGAAGAAAAAGTTTTAGGAACAGCAAGCATTTCGTGGTATTCCCAGTGCATGAGTAGTAGAAAGGAGTGACGCTAGAGAGGCAGGGGCCAGACCAGGAAAGGCTTTGTCCTAAAAGCAGGGGGAAGCATCTGAAGATTTTAAACTGATTCGCGATGTGATAAGAATACCAGTGAACAAAGAAGGCCAGAGGCAGTCAAGACAGGCTGGTGGAAGGAGGAGGCTCGCGCTGAGCACTGCAAACAGGAAGTGTTCTGATTTCATGGCCAGCCGGCTTTGGGTGGGAGTGGGGAGTGATTTGCACCAGGTTTCTGGCTTGCACACTTGTTGATATACCAGTAGGGAGTGCTGGTTCCAGAACTAGGAGCAGCTTTGGAGATGTTGAATTTGTGAATTCACCTTTCTTCGCACTTATTTTGCTTTTTCTCTTCTCTTCTTTCACAGCTCGATTTAGGACTTAGGCTGACTGCTGTCTGGCTGGTTTGCCCACCCACACTCACTTTTCCATTCAGCCCCCTGTTACCTGGTTGATCTTTCTGAAATACCAGTTTTATCATGTTAGTATCCTGCTTGAATCTGCCTTACAAGCCTCTAACCTGCCAGTCTGGGCCCTACCTGCACAATCTGGTTCTACTTTTCTTTCCAGTTTTACCTTCCACTCCTTCCCTACTCGGATCCTTTGATTTAGCGGTTCCTTGAACATGTTCATTCACTTGTCATCTACTTGGTGCTCGGCAGTGTGCTAGCTGATGGGGCGATAGCGTGGACCCTGAGATACAGCTCCTGCCCTTGTGGCATTTCCAGAACAATGATAAAGCCAAAGTTAGATAAGGAATAATAAAACAACGGGATAGGGTAGGTGGATGGTGGTGATCAGGTGTGTTTCAGGCAGAGGGAACAGCATGCGCAAAGGCCAGGAAAGCAGAGATGGTATGAGGACTTCCATTAGTCCTGTCAAATGCAGGAAGCAGAGCAGCTGGAGATGAGAATCAGAAGCTAGATCACAGAGGATCCTGAGAACTGGGTAGGATTTTGGCTAGAGGAATCCACTACAGGCGTTTAAGTGGTGGGGTAGCAAAATGTTTCATCTGCAATTTTGGAAACTCTCTCTTTAGCTGCTGAGTGGGCAGTGGATTGGAGGGACCAAGGCAAGAAGTTAGGAGGCCGTCATATTTTCCAGGAACATTATGATGTAGTCTGAACTAGGGAGGTAGCAGAAGGGTGGAGAGACATGAATTTCTATCTTCTTATTCCCCCCACTTCTAATTCCCTACCTCCACCTTTTCCCCAGTCTACATCCTGTCAGCTGTTCACTTCCAGATTGCTTAGCTCATTTTCACACCTACTCACATTCAAGAAATACTTGTTAATTCATCTGGTTTACTGCTGACCATCTTGTTTGTAGTTGGAGCTGGGAAAGAAGCATGTCAATGCTACTTGTCTGAATAGCCTCCTTTGTTCCTCCTGCTAAACATGAATGGGTGAGAGGAGCAGTTTAACCCAGAATTATAACTCTTGCCTGTGAGTTTTACTAAACTGTGCTCTTCCCAGGGAGCCCTGGAGATCTGAGCTACTTGAGAATAGGCTTCTTCTGTTTTCTGCATCCTTTTACCACCAGCACCCTGCACACAGCCTGGACCACAGCTGATGCTCAATTTTTGGACCGAGCAACTGAGGCGTAGCTTAGGAGATGCACACATACAGAAGCATCCACGACGAGCATCTTTTGAGTGCCTGTTTTTTGCTCGGCCCTGCGAATGGTGCTGTGGAGATCAGACAGCTTAAGTTCGTAGCAAGGTAGAAGAGAGTGTGTTGAGTTCTCTCTCACTTGTTTTATATATCTTCCTGATGAAGCTCATGAGACCTATTATTTTTATTCACTGCTTTATTGTTAGAGGCAAAGTTAGATATTTTCCTGTCCATCGTTTTACCTCTGGGCTGCTTTGGTCGTCAGCTCATAGAGCTGGCAAGCCTTCAGTATTAGACACACCTGGATCTGCATTCCTGCACTCACCCCACATGCTAGCTCTGTCACTTTGGGTAAATTACTTTGCTTTTCTGAGCTTTGTTTTCCTCACCTGTAAAATATAACATCCACCTCAGAGGTTTGTGAAAATGAAATGGATTTGAGTGTAAGACACTTTGATTCTTGGTGCAAAGTATTCAGTAAGAAATCACATGCCAACACAGATTCACTACTGCTGCAAACCGACTGTTTCAGGAGGAATACTCTGCTTACAGAGAGCAAGAAAGAAAATTTGAGGGTGAGGCATGCTTAGAACTTTAAATGACTGACCATATGGCACAATGAAAAACTTTTTTTTTTTCCTCAGAAAGTGTATCTCAAATTCAAAATAGGAATTTTGGAACACAGAAATATGAACAATGGATCGTTTCTGTTCAGAAGGCATGCATGGTGTTTCAGTTGCCCGACAAAGATGAAGAGAGCAGGATTTGTAAAGCCCTCTATTTGTACACTTCCCACTTGCGGGTATGTGGCTTCTTTGCAGCGATATATTTTAGTTGTAGTACCTACTGGGAGCTTTGCTCTGGGAGCCAAGAGAACATCAACTTTTCACCCTTTTCCAAGAGCTCACTTAGGAACTTTCCGAGGGGTTCCTATGAGGCAAACTTTAAAGTTATCCCATTCAGCATCTTCTCTGTCAGCTTACTGAAACGTAATACAAGCAGCCACAGGATAGAAACAAATGCTGGGGTTCTATACCATGTGCCTCTAGTATTCCCATGATTGACACGACTGGAAGAATTTGGGGGATGATGAACATGATTGTAGATATGTGATAGGTGACAGCCATCTTGAAAATTCAGTAAGTGACTTCTGTTGCCTTATCTTGAAGCATGTGTTTTCTTAACTTTGGCAAAGCCACACGCTCAGAAACCCAGGGTCTTTGGTTGTTTTCTGGTTAACCAAGAAGTTAAGAAACAACAACCATCACCTCTGCTTATCATGCTGTTGAAAGTATTTAAAAATGCACTCAGCATGCATTTATAGAATTTTAGTGAACTTAGTTGCATATTTGGGGTAGGTGGTCAGTGCCATCATTCTGAACAGGTGCTATTGCAATTCCCTGATGGCTCTGGATGTATGAGGAGATTAAGTTGAATGTCTGAATCACGAGGCAAGTTGATGCGGAAGTTGATTTGCTTTTGTTTTTTGCTTTTTAATCTTTGACATGCATTTTTCTTGTAATTTTCTCTTTTTCTTCCAAGGTGTAATTCTAGACTCCAAAATGATCCTAATTAATTAATGATTCTAGCTGATTAAGATTTTTTAAATAGTATTTGGTTCAAAGGTTTTATTGCAGTACCATTAGAAACCACTCATCTTAAAAAACTAAGTTGGGATAGATTTAAGAAGAGCTTATTTTAAAAATTAGTTCCATGCTAAGTACAGCTAATTGAATTTCAGTACAGCAAATGCATTAGACCTTGGAAACACTGAAACTCAGTTTTCATTTTAAACAGAAATATAATGATGCCCTCATTATCAATGAGCATGCACGGATGAAAGATGCTCTGGATTACTTGAAAGACTTCTTCACTGATGTCCGAGCTGCAGGATTTGATGAGACTGAGCAGCATCTCACTCAGAGATTCGAAGGTGGGTAGTGTTTCTTTCTTTCTTTCTTTTTTTTTTAAGATTTTATTTATTTATTTGAGACAGAGAGAATGAGAGAGAGAGCACATGAGAGGGGGGAGGGTCAGAGGGAGAAGCAGGCTCCCTGCAGAGCAGGGAGCCCGACGCGGGACTCGATCCCGGGACTCCAGGATCACGACCTGAGCCGAAGGCAGTCGCTTAACCAACTGAGCCACCCAGGCGCCCGGTGGGTAGTGTTTCTAGAGGAAGAAGCCACTGGAGCCTGGTGACTCCAGTGGCAGGATACTTGTATTATATTTAGTGTACGGTGATGCTCAGGAGTTGTCCTGGGCTTAAGAAGATAATTATAGACAGCAGGACTATTAAGCTTCAGTGAAATCTGGTACTTATGGAAAAAATATGTTGCTTACACTATTTCTTATTTTGAAAAAGGAAAAATAGGATTTGCAAAGGATACATCCCATAAAAATTATAATAGGTAGTGGCTTTTTTTTTTTAAATCTATAAGAGACTTTTTTAAGTTCAGTTAGCCAGCATATAGTATATCATTAGTTTTTGAGGGAGTGGTCAGTGATTCATTAGTTGCATATAACACCCAGTGCTCATCAGATCATGCACCCTCCTTAATGCCCATCACTCAGTTACCCTGCCCCCCTCCTCGCCCATCTGTCCCTTCTGCAACCCTCAGTTTGTTTCCCGGAGTCCAAAATCTCTCATGGTTGAGAGGTAGTGGCATTTTTTTGTTCAACTTTTAGTAATTTTACTATGCTTTAAAAATATAAAAAAAGTGTTTGGGGCGCCTGGGTGGCTCAGTCATTAAGCGTCTGCCTTCGGCTCAGGTCATGGTCCCAGGGTCCTGGGATCGAGCCCCCGCATCAGGCTCCCTGCTCTGCGGGGAGCCTGCTTCTCCCTCTCCCACTCCCCCTGCTTGTGTTCCCTCTCTCGCTGTGCCTCTCTCTGTCAAATAAATAAATAAAATCTTAAAAAAAAGGGGGGGGGGCGCCTGGGTGGCTCAGTTGGTTAAGCGACTGCCTTCGGCTCAGGTCATGATCCTGGAGTCCTGGGATCGAGTCCCGCACCGGGCTCCCTGCTCGGCCAGGAGCCTGCTTCTCCCTCTCCCTCTCCCCCTGCTTGTGTTCCCTCTCTAGCTGTCTCTCCCTCTCTCTGTCAAATAAATAAAAAATAAAATATTTAAAAAAAGGGGGGGGGGCGCCTGGGTGGCTCAGTCGTTAAGCATCTGCCTTGGCTCAGGTCATGATCCCAGCGTCCTGGGATCGAGCCCCACATCCTGCTCCCTGCTCAGCGGGAAGCCTGCTTCTCCCTCTCCCACTCCCCCTGCTTGTGTTGCGTCTCTCGCTGCGTCTCTCTCGGTCAAATAAATAAAATCTGTAAAAATAAATAAATAAAAATATTAAAAAAGTGTTTTAATGATTTAGAGAGATTATAATTTATATATGCTATATATAAATTTATATATAGAAGAAAACCAAGATGGCCCATAATCCTACTGCTCATGTATCAAGAAGTTTATAGGAGGATTTGAAATAAAAAGTACGGCCTTCTCCCTCTCTCAAAATTCTTTTCCCCAAGGTAATTACTGCTAATAAATTAGTTTGGCCTATGTCAAAGTATTTAGTATACATAAATGTAGCCCCGTGGTGTGCTGCTATGCACTGAGCACCCAGCTGCCTGGGGAAAATAAGTATGCATTTATTGCTGCATTTAATGCATGCATTAAAGCAGTGGTTATTACTCTTGGAATTCGGGTCAAAGATTGAGAGATCAACTGAACTATAGCTAAAGGTCACAGTGTGTTCTAAATTTGTAGAATTTATAAGCCATTTATAGAATGTTCCCCTTTTGCAGAAAAGCTGAAGGAACTGGAAAGTGTTTCCATGGATCCCAGCAATGAGAACCCTAAACTCCAAGATCTCTCCTTCATCTTGCAAGAGGAGTACCACTTAAATCCAGAGAGTAGAACCATCCTCTTTGTGAAAACCAGAGCACTTGTGGATGTAAGCTTCTTTCTTCTTGTGGATACCAAATCGACCCAGTACCATTTTACTGAAAAGAGTGTCCTTTCCTCACTGCTCTGCAGTCAGGCACCCACCCAAATATGTGTGGGTTTGTTTCTAGGCTGTCTATTCTGTTCTGATTCTCTCTTTGTTTATCTTTATACAAACACTTCACTATCTTCATCACTCTGGTTTATAGTAAGTCTTTGTACCTGTAGAACAAGGACTTCATACTTTAAAAATTTTTTTGTCAGTTGAAAAAAATTTTAGCCATTCTCTGAGCATGTAATGGTATCTCCCTAGGGTTTGAAAATTCATTTTACTATATTTGCATTTCAGCTAATGCAGTTGAGCATTTTTCATAAACTTAGTAGCCATCCATATATCTTCTTTGGTGAAGTGTCCGTTTACATCTTTTGCCCATTTAAAAATAGGATTTGATTGAGTTGTATACCATGTTATTGTTGAGTGTTTAAAAAGTTTTTTATATAGTCTGACAAAAGTCCTCTGTCCGAAATGTGATTTGTAAATATTTTCTTCTGGTTTTTTAATTCTCTGAATAGTATCTTTTACTGATTGAAAATTTTAACTTTTCATAAAGTCTATTTTAACAATTTTTTCTTTTGGGGGATTGTGCTTTTGGTATTGTATATAAGAACCCTTTGCTTATCCAAGATCACAAAGATTTTCTTTGTTATCTTGTCAAAGTTTTATAGTTCTGCAATTTATAATTAGGTCTACAATCCCTTTTGAGTTACGGATTAAGATGCTTTTTTTTCTTTTTGTATGTGGATATCCAATTGCTGCAGGACTGTATGTTGAAAAGAATGTCCTTTCTCCACTGAATTGCGTTTGTTACTTTTTGAAAAATCAGTTGGCTCTATTTATGTAGGTCTATTTCTGGATTCTCTCTTCTGTTCCATTCATCTATATCCATCTATCTTTTCACCCTTCCCATACTGTCTTGATTAGCTTTATGGTGTGAGTCCTCTAACTTTTTTCCTTTTTTCAAAATTGTTTTAGCTATCCTCCTTTGCTTTTCCATTTATATTTTTGAATCAGCTCACTCACATATATGAAAAAGTCTGCTGGGATTTTGTTTGGGATTGCATTGAATCAATAGATAAAACTGGGGAAAAGTGACATCTTAACAATATGGAGTCTTCCAATCCATGACCATAGTATATCTCTCTCTTTTCATTTATATAGTTTCTGTATGTTACCTATTGCTGATAACAAATTACCTCAAAACTTAGTGGCTGGAAACAACAAACTCTTCTCTTAAAATATCTATGGATCAGGAATCTGGAAACAACTTAACTGGATGTTTCTGACTCAGGATCTCTCCCCAGGCTGTAGTCATCTCAAGACTCTACTTGAAAGGCTTAACTTCCAACCATACCTCCCTGGCTATTGGCGGGCCTCAGAAGATGTGCTTCTGAGCTCACTCATGTGGGCCTCTCCATAGGGCTGCCTCAGAGCATGCCGGCCTCCTCTAGAGTGAGTGATCCAAGAGGGATTGAGAGAGTATGCCTAATATAGAGGTCATAGTCATTTTGTAACTTCGACTTGGAAGTGAGCATTTCTTCCATTTTTTATTCATTAGAAGCAGGTCACACTTGAAGGGAGGGGATTACAAGGATCTGAAGACCAGCAGGTGGAGATCACTGGGAGCCAACCGAGAGGCCACCTACTACATCTTTGGTTTCTTTTATCACTGTTTTGTCGTTTTTGGCATACAGATTCTGCACATATTTTATTACACGTATACCTAAGTGTCAATTTTTTAATGCTATTATAAATTGTACCTGTAGTTGCTTGTTTGCTGGTGAATAGAAATACAACTGATTTCCATATATTGATCTTATGTCCTGAGATCTTGCTAAAACTCACTTATTAGTTTTACACACTCACTATTCCAAACATTGCTTTTTTCATTTAAATAAGGGATGTCGTAGAGATTAAATTGTATCAGATCACAAAGGTCTTAACCATTATAGTTAATTATTGCATAGAATTCAATTCCAAAAAGCTTTTATTCTCAGGTTTGTCAGACAACTGACTGAACTGTTTACTAACTTAAAGTTTTTTTTTCTTCTTGCAGTATATCAGCATTGAATTAATAGTTACACAAATGTGTTCTACAGATAGTGTCCAACTGATAATTGCTTTTGACTTTCAGGCTTTGAAGAAATGGATTGAAGAAAATTCTGAACTCAGCTTTCTAAAACCTGGCATATTGACTGGACGTGGCAAAACAAATCATAACACAGGTACTATATATGAATTAGAGTTAGGATACTGTATGTATAAGAATATTTATAATATATTCAAATTCTTTTTTAATGCTTGTATCAGTCAGGGTTCGACTAGAGAAGCAAAACCAGTAAGAGATTATGCACACATACATATATACCTATATGTTGTTTATGTGTGTGTACGCAAACACGCACAAACTCATAGGGATTTGGGAATTAGCATGCACAACTGGACTGGCAAAGTGAATTTGAAATCCATAGGGCAGGTGGTCAAGAGCAGGCCTGAACCTCACAGGCATGAGCTGTTTGGAGTCTCTGAGCTCAGGGACTAATGCCTAAGCCTTCTTACAAAGGGTCGATTGATTATGTCAGGTCAACTGAGAATGAAATCCCTTTTGTAACTTAAATGTTAAGTGATTAGGAACTTCAATTACATCTGCGAATTCCCTTCACAGAAGCACCTAGATCAATAACTGGGTACTGTAGTTCAGCCTAGCCACATTGACACATCAGAAAGCCATCACAGTGTTTGAATACAAAAACTTGTAGACATCTCCTCTTCCCATAGGTCCTGCAGACAAAACCAAAGTTATTTTTAAAAATATTGTTTGAGCACGTCACTCTTTTTCTCCAATTCTCAATCAGTAGATTAAGATTAGCTGGAAATAAAAATGTTCTGTTTCCATTTTATTGTTTTTTAAGCTATAGATGCTTTTATGTGAAATATATATATTTTTAATTAAAAAAAAAGTTCAAGCACACAATCCTGAAATCCAGCTACAGTGGCTGAAGGATGAAGGGCTGCCTCTGTAATCCTCCAGCAGGATCCCTGGGTGGCCAGCCCTCAGCTGACATTCTCATAGCTGTGCTCCCCACCCCTCAGTGACCAGCTGGGACAGATCCTCACTCTGTTCCTCCTGTTTAGTTTTGTGTATAATAAGCAGTCCCTATCCTGTCAGTCCTCAATCATTACTCTTGCACTTTCCCCTTATGCAAATTTTAAACTTCATGAATCGAAAAAAGTATATTCAGATTTTGAAAATTTAACTTACCAAATGAAGTCCAAAACCACATTATTGCAGTTGGAATTCAAAGTTCTCTGCAGTCTGACTCTAACATGAGTTGATTTTCAAACTTTGTTATTTCTTTACAAATAAGCACTCAAGACATTTTCTTGTTTGTTCATTTATCCATCCATCCATCCATCCATCCATCCATCCATCACCTACCCATCCATCATCCATCCATCCATCCACATTTATTTAGAAACTTACCAGTTATTGAGCTTCTGCAAAAGAGCCTTCCCCAACCACCCAAGACTGGTAGAGGTGTCTCTCCTCCCTGTTCCATAGATGCAATTCTGCCTCCATCCCATTGCTCATCACCTTGAATTATAGCTTCCTATTGATATCCTTCTTCCATGAGATCCTTGTAGATAAAAATGGACCTTTTAACCATGTATTTTTACCTGACAAACTATAATTGCTGAATAAATGTTTGATGAACAAGTGGACGAGTAAGTTTAGAAATTCATGAAGTATGGTGTCTGTCTTGGGCATGCTCATCGTTCAGTAGAAGAGGATGGTAAAAAGAATTTGTTTTGGCCTTAAAATACATCTGAAGATTTTGGCTGCCAGTGTACTACTGGAAAAAATTAGAACTTATATAAATTCTATTAACTTGGAGGTGGAGACCACTGAAATTCTTTTTTCTTCTCAGTATATCACTGGCTGAGAACCGCACACTGTTAGGGTCTCAGACTTAGGTTCTGCCACTAACTAGCCTGTCAGTTTATCATACTTCCAAAACCTCAAAGTCTTCATCTGTAAAGGAGAACTATAACACTTGCCACATCAGCCTAAAAGGGCTTTGTGAAGTTCCAGTAAGTACTTAGTTGTGAAACTGTTTTGCCAGCTATAAAGTCCTATACATATGCAAAGTCATTATGATGAATAGTTTTGCAAAAAAACAATTAATTGTTGATAGTTGTTGATAGTTTTTTTTAAAAAAATCAGTATTTGTTTTGAGATAACATGACTGAAGTCACACAGCTGGTTAGTGCCACAGCTGGGATTTGAACTCACGTAGTCTTGGGGCAGAGTCCAAATTGTTAAACACCATCATAATGTCCTCTCTAAAACAAGGCTAGGAATAGGCCCTACTGCCTAGCGTTGTTTTGACATCATGAATATAAAGCACTTATCACAGTATTTGGCACATAATAAGCATTCCATAATTAATGGCTATTTTTCGAGGGTAAAGTTCCCTCTTTGGTGAGTTGTATAATGAATGCCCTCTGACTCTGACACAGGAATGACGCTCCCAGCACAGAAGTGTGCATTGGATGCATTCAGAACCGATGGAGATAAAAAGATTCTGATTGCTACCTCAGTTGCTGATGAAGGCATTGACATTGCTCAGTGTAATTTGGTCATCCTGTATGAGTATGTGGGCAATGTCATCAGAATGATCCAAACCAGAGGTGAGAAAAGCTTTGATGCCATGACTAAATGGCTGCCAATTTTTCTGATTTGTGAGCGTATCTGTCATTTAGAAACGTACTCTGTCCCAGTCATTGTGCTTCTGGTCTTTTCTCCTTTACCGAGCCATAGTGGCTGTATGACCATTGGCACAGTGGACTCTGGCGTCTTTGGCCCTGACGGTGGCTTACTTGATCAGGATTGTGTGGGTACAGTTTTGCCCACTAATATATACCCTATTTTGATTCTTGTTTATGATGAATACTGTTTACTTGACCAACATTGACAGACATATTTATGGTAAGATAATTCCCACTTGGATTGAGACTCTGGCAGCCAATGTGTGGAACTTTCATGGTTGTGCTTGTGGTAATGATGGGCCCCCTGTATTCTAGAAGAGATACTCCATAGAATTCTCCTGTCTCACTTGAACTAGGTGATCTCCTAACTAGCCTCTCTTACTTTTTCCAATTTCCCTAATGACAGCCGCCATTTTACTTCCTGAAAAACAGCTCTGGGCATGTCACTTCCCTATATAGAGTCTCTAGTCATTCCCAATTTATGTGATGTTAAAAAGCTCAAAATCCAGCACCAGCTTATCTTTCCAATCTATTTCTCATTCTTCCCCTTTATTCATTATCCACTTCTGCCAACCTGACTTCATCATTTTCTCCTTGTTGAAGAAAGCGCTCATGTACTGCTACTGATAATCTTTGTTTTACTTCCTCCCTCTTGTCCCCACCTGTCCCTGATTCCCTCAGCTGGCAAAAAATTTTCGAATGCCCATAGTTCTTTACATTTATCTTCCTTATCACACTTATTATCTCCACCTATATTCTGGTGGCTGTGAACATATCTATTTCCCCATCTCTTTGAAGGCTCTTGAGGGAAGATCTGTTCATTATTCATCTTACAGTGCTCACAGTGTCCTCCTGAGTATTCATGTTGGATTGTCTTTAAGGCATTGTCTCTGATAATGTAGCTGTTCAATTATACTGTCTGGAGACTGACCCCCCAAGGAAGCCAGTCTAAGGTGGGCTCCTAGTTTAACATGTAGTTTAATATGAAGGTGCACACCTGCATTGGAGTCCATGCTCTAACAGCTCAGCCTACCTGTGAAAGCTTTCCTATGAAAGTTGAATTTTAGGAGTACCCCTTTGTTAACTTCTTCTCAGATTTATCAGAGTTTTAAGTCAAAGACACCAAATAAGGTATTTATTTTCTGATAGGCAGAGGAAGAGCAAGAGGTAGCAAGTGCTTCCTTCTGACCAGCAATGCTGATGTAATTGAAAAAGAAAAAATAAATATATACAAAGAAAACATGATGAATGACTCCATTTTAAGGCTTCAGACGTGGGATAAAGCAGTATTTAAAGAAAAGGTAAGTCTTTTAATCTGTGTCACTCTTGCAGAATCTGACCATGAGTAACAAACAGAATATGAGGATAGTTGGTGCCTTTTATCATATTGCTCTGAGTGTTGCATAAGAACAATAAGTTTATGCTTAAAATTTTGTCCTGCAGTGAACATCAGTTCATTCTGCTTTAGGTCTCAATGAGATTAAAATATATGTTATTAGTGCTAATATTTGAAGTGACGTTTTTAGTTATAAAAGGGCAAACTGAGTTAGATGACCCTCAAGTCGGCAGCTCATCTTGAGGACTGCACCCTAACATGGCGAAACACAGCCCTTCTCGGTCTTTCCCTCCAATCTGTCTCTCTCTAACACCCAGAGTCCTCAGAAAAAAGCTCCCCGTGGATAGTGCATGTGTTAGAAGGCCTGCTTGTAGATATTGGTATGAATGCACGCTGTGGAGTGGCCTATCTGTTCAGTTCAGCCTCTTGGTAGTGACCTTCATTTTACTGTAATTTCCTTTATAACACAGAAGCATGGAACCAGATTGGGGAAAGTCAAGAAACACAAACACCACATACACGCACACACAGGCACACAGGCCCCGCGTACTTTCTCCAGACCCTCTGCAGAGACTTTCATCTTGGGATCTCTGCCACCTGGAAGATGTGTGACCTCGGGTACTTACTCTGTCTCTTAAATCATCTGTCTCCTCATTCGTAAAGTTGGGAAAGTAATGGTATTTAATTCACAGGGCAGTTTGGAAGATAAAATGGGGTATATGCATTGCCCAGCACAGTGCCTGGAATAAAGTAAGTGCTCAAAAAATGAGTATTGTGATGGACAGAGGCATGAGGCAGACTTTAACTTCACAAAGATGAACCTTACAATTCAGTAGACCAACTCCATAGTGTCCATAATTTTAAAAAGTCATAATCTCTTTGCTCAAAAAAATTTTGAGCAGTGCTCTAAAGCAAATTAACACGTATTTTAGGACATAAAATGACAACTTTATGTCAGTATTTACTCGTTTTTAGAAACATTTCTTCCTAAAGTTTAGAGACTAAAATATTTAAAAATACTTCTTCCACATTTTCATTGAGAAGAACTGCAGGGAAATTTTTTAGTTCCTCTTAATTTTCCTCCTGAATTTTACTAAAAATAGAGGTTTTTCACAGAGTCATCTTCCCGTTTTGTAGCATATGTTGATGTTGGCAGTAAAGTCTTTAAAACCATGATAGCTTTAATATCCATGCCATAATTTTTGTCTTTTCCACTGGGTGACCAACTACGTAGACTCGTGTGGCAGGAAAAAAGAGTAAAAGCCTTCTGAGGGAGATGGAGGCTCGGCCAGACACAGACTCTTTTGTAGCCAGCTCACCAGGACGAGGAATGGGATAGGAAAACACAGGTTACACATATGTTGAATAGCATCTGGGATTGCCCTAACAGCCATAGACAACGGGCAGAGGTGGTAAAGGATGAGAGGGAGCCCAGAACCAGTGTAACCGGGACCTGTTGGCTGGTCATTCCGTGGGTGGGGGTGGGCATTCTGGCTCCCTGCAGGGTCTCCACTAACATCACAGGCAAGGGCTGCTACCACGTGGCAGGGTTGAGAGCATGGCTCCCTGCTTGGCCTTCTCTGACGCCATTAGGTGGGAGTGTTGAGATGCTTCGTTAAGGTGGAAATCTAGGTACCCCTTCAGTCTTTGCTGGCATGGGCTGCGGTTAGGCTACAGTTGTTTGTTTTATTCTGTGATGTTTGGCAGGAGTAGAACAGCTATTGTCTAAAAGTTTCTTGTCTCGCTAGGCTGCCCCTTTCCTGGTCCTTTGGCTAGAGAGAGTAGTAGGCTTCTGTTGAGACACTTATTTTATCTGTGTCCATAGACACTTCTGGTTGCCAGTTCCTTCAGCCCTAAGTCTGGGATATATAAGAAAACCCAGGTTGCTCACCACCATTTTGTTCTTAGGGTTTTGTGTTTTCTAGCTGTCTGCCTTCCCTTCTGAATCTTCTTAGGTTTATTTTATCTATAATGTCCAGGTTCTTTTTTTTTTTTTAATATTTTATTTATTTGAAAGAAAGAGTGAGAGAGAGAGAGAGCACAAGTGGGGTGAGCGGCAGAGGGAGAGGGAGAAGCAGACTCCCCATTGAGCAGGGAGCCCAATGCAGGGCTCGATCCCAGGACCCTGGGAGCATGACCTGAGCTGAAGGCAGACGCTTAACCGACTGAGCCACCCAGGCACCCCTATAATGGCCAGTTTCTTAGTTGTAAGTTTTTTTTTTTTTTTTTAAGATTTTATTTATTTATTTGAGAGAGAGAATGAGAGACAGAGAGCACGAGAGGGAAGAGGGTCAGAGGGAGAAGCAGACCCCCCGCCGAGCAGGGAGCCCGATGCGGGACTCGATCCCGGGACTCCAGGATCATGACCTGAGCTGAAGGCAGTCGCTTAACCAACTGAGCCACCCAGGCGCCCCTTAGTTGTAAGTTTTGAAATAGAATGCAGTCATACTATACATGCATTTAACTTTCCTGTAACTCAACAATACTCTCTGTGGTTGGAAGGGGAGAGAGAAAAAAGATTTACGTGCTGGGGACTCTTCTGCCTGTGGTTCCATTTAAGAGGTCTCTGCCCTAGAAGTGGGTGTAGTTATGCCTGAAACAGTCAATACATGTTTATTTATGACGGATTTAAAAATTTTGCCAACTACTAAAGTAGAAAGCAGGGGTCACACGACTGTTTTATGAACATCTTTAGTACTTTATGACCATTTTTTTTTCTAAAGATTTATTTATTGTGAAAAGCAAGACAGTGAGGGCGACTGGGTGGCTCAGTTGGTTAAGCGACTGCCTTCGGCTCAGGTCATGATCCTGGAGTCCCTGGATCGAGTCCCGCATCGGCCTTCCTGCTCGGCAGGGAGTCTGCTTCTCCCTCTGACCCTCCCCTCTCTCCTGTGCTCTCTCTCATTTTCTCTCTCTCAAATAAATAAATAAAATCTTAAAAAAAAAAAAAAAGCAAGACAGTGAGAGAGTGGAAGGACAGTTGAAGAGGGAGAGGGAGAGAATCCTTAAGCAGACTCCCTGATGCAGGACTCAATCCCAGGACCCTGAGATCATGACCTGAGCTGAAACCAAGAGCCAGCTGCTTAACCGACTGAATCACCCAGGCACTCCCTTTATGGGCATCTTTGATTCAAAAATTAAAAAGGCTCATCGGAGGTCACAGTTAAACACTAACAAAGAATTAGGAGAACCCAATAAAATTACCTATGGGATTTTTATAAACAAAGCCAGGTACTGTATGTTCATGGAAGCTGTACATGAATGAATGATAATAAACATGTATGTGCAGGTGTATGTGCGTGTGCGTAAATACCTCCTAGTTATACCGTTATGCTAAGTGGATTTTGTTTTTGGTTTTTGGGTTTTTGCATGTAGGTTCTCCAGATACAGATTCAAGAAAAATTAATCAGGGATAGTCAAGGAAAAGTAGAACCTGTACCTGATAAGGAAAATAAAAAGCTGCTCTGCCGGAAGTGCAAGGGCTTTGCATGTTATACAGCTGACATCAGAGTGGTGGAGGTAAGCAGCCTTTGAGCAAAGAGCACTGGGTCATTTTTTAGCACTAATCAAAGCTTACTCTCTATTGGTGAGATATTTATAGTAAGAATATTATTATTTTTGTTGTTGTTATGGCCATGATATTTTAAAAAGCCAAAAAAGTTTTGAAACCCTTAACAATGAAGAAGCAGCAGCTACTTAATTAAATATTATGTAGCCACTAAAAATAATGGTCATACTAAATGAATGGGGTATCCTGGGTTAGATCCTAGAACAGATAAAGAATATTAATTAGAAAAAGTGGTAAAAATCTGTAGATAACAGTAAGGTTCCAATCCTAATTTCTTAGTTTTGACAAATACACTGTGGTATGTTAGATGTTAGCATTCAGGGACGCTGGGTGAAGGGGATACAGGAAATGTCTGGACAATTTTGCACTTTTTCTATAAATCTAAAGTAATTCCAAAGTAAAGTTTATTAAATGAAATGATCACAAAGCTTATGTATAATGAAAAACTTCTTACAAACAATGGTGAAGTAGAAAAAATAACAAGGATACAAGGTTGTAAATATGCTGGGACTTTAGGAGTGTGAAATAATAGCAACAAAACCACCATCACCATCAACAACAAAAACGTCAAAAAATTATCTTTGTCCAGAAAAAAAGACTAGAGGAAATATATTGAAATATATTACTATTTTGCAGTGAGACTCCATGATTTTTTCTCTCTACTATTTTATGTTTTCTAAACTTTCCTTTTGGGATATGGATCACTTTTATAATGAAAACAAAATATCTCATTTTAAAAACATCTGCCGGTTAGTTTTCTCTATTTTTTTTTTCTTAAAAATTTTGGATAGAAAAATCTCCAAAGACAAAAATGGGCTGTAACTGCATTGCTGCTGATAGAGGGGAAGCTGGTTCAGATGATGAGTTATTAGGATTGTCCTTGGTCTTTGGAAAGCTGAAGTCTCTAATCAGTCCATCTGTTTGAGCGAGAAGCGGAATATTAAGGGTGGTACTAGCAAATTCCCATGCCTTTATGAATCTGCTTCTTTAGCTAGAAAAGGTCCTTTCAGCTCCAATTTGAGTGATTTTTCTATTGAAATGGCCCTCTGTGACTGTTTCCCCGAGGGGCTGGCATGTTGGGTCTGCATTTGTTCTGTAGAGAGTGGCTTTTCTTGGGACTCTCAAGTTGGCTGTAGGTGGAGCTTCTGGACACATTAGTCTGTGACCCTCTGCAGATCCACATTGACCTTTCATTGTTCTCTGTATCCTTTGGATTGTGTCTGTCAGGTGAACCCAGGCTTTGGAGATCTTCAACAAATACCCCCTTTTGTTTCTGAATTAATAAAGAACATCTATTTTCAGAAGCTCAGTTGCCTGGAAACTTCTTAGTCCTCCTCTTCATGAGACGGCCCCTATCACCTCACTTGCATCCCCACCCCCACCCTTGTAACTGGGAGTCCGGTTGTATGGATTCTAGTCTGGCCTTCAGGTGAATGCATATTTCCTTCCATATTTCCTTCTTTCCATCTGTAAAATAAGTGGGATCCTATCTGCTCTGCATCTCAGATTGTGGTGGAGTTTTTTAAAATCACAGTTCTGTCCTAGTTCTAATGTTGTGTTTTGTGTGTTATTTAATCCCTTCATCTGTAGGACTGCCATTACGCTGTGGTTGGAGATGCTTTCAAGAAGTGCTATGTGAGTAAATTACACCCCAAACCAAAGACCTTTGGGCATTTTGAGAAGAGAGCAAAGATCTTCTGTGCCAGACAGAACTGTAGCCATGACTGGGGAATCCATGTGAAGTATAAGACATTTGAGATTCCAGTTATAAAAATAGAAAGCTTTGTGGTGGAGGATATTACAACTGGAGCTCAGAAACTGTATGCCAAGTGGAAGGATTTTCCTTTTGAGAAGAGATCCTTTGATGCTACAGAAATGTCCGAATGACCTCAGGACCTCAGTCTTTAGCTACAGGGAATGGACCTTGACTGAAGAAATCAGCCCCAGTGGGTACAGTCACGGATTGCGTGTACCACTGTGAAGCTACTTTACCCAAGCTTGTATCAAACTGAGTACGTCACTTAACTTCACCCTGTTTATTGTTTTCAGCAGTTTGAACTGTATCACATATGTAAAGCACAAGTGAATCACAGCACTAATACTCTGTAGGCCAATGGAGCTCTAAGTACTTGGGAAAAATTAAAAAGCCTTAACTTCTTTTCCTATCCTTCCTTTCACAACTGCCTGCCAGTGTACACCCAGTAGCCACACTGGAATGAATGAATGAATGAACAAACGAAACGTTGAAAGTGTTTCCACCATAAACTGACTTTTTTTTTTTTTTAAGATTTTATTTATTCATTTGACAGAGAGAGAGACAGCGAGAGAGGGAACACAAGCAGGGGGAGTGGGAGAGGGAGAAGCAGGCTTCCCGCCGATCAGGGAGCCTGACGTGGGGCTCGATCCCAGGACCCCGGGATCATGACCTGAGCCAAAGGCAGACGCTTAACGACTGAGCCTCCCAGCCGCCCCCATAAACTGACTTTTGCCCTTAGTATACTGAAATTGTTCTTAAGTCCTGTAAGACTGCCCCACCCCATCCCACTTCAGGCATCAGTTGCAAATCCAGGTAATCACCTGTGCCTCTCACTGACAGGCTATAGATCAGAGGTTCCCATGACCTCCTCCTTGAATTTGATTAATCTGCTAGAGTAGCTCACAGAACTCAGAGAAACATTGTATTTTCTTAATCACCGGTTTATTAGAAAAGGGTATAACTAAGGAACAGCCAGATGGAAGACACGCATAGGGCAAGGTGTGGGAAAGGACAAGGAGTTCCCACGTCCTCTCCAAATCTCCACCTGTTCACCAGGTAGAAGCTCTCCAAACCCTGTCCTTTGGGTTTTTATGGTGGCTTTATTATATAAGCATGACTGATCAAATCACTGGCCATTGGTGATAGATTCAACTTCCAGCTCTACTCCCCAGTTGTCAGGGGGTGGGACTGAGAATTCCAGCCCTAGAATCAGAGTTGGTTGTTCTGGCAACCAGCCTCATCCTTAGGTGTAGTCCAAAAGTCATGTCGTTAGCATAACAAGAGACACCTTTGTCCCTTGTGTCACTTAGGAAATTCCAAGGGTTGTGGGAGCTCAGTGCCAGAAATGGGGACGAAAGTCAAATATGTATTTATTATATAAATCACAATCTCACAAGTGTCTCTTTTTATCTATGATTGCCTTTTTTGGATGCTGTTGTTTCAGAACTCTAATAGGATGTTTAAAACACCTACTGGAGATTCGAGAAAAGTTCTTTCAAGTATCTAAATGGTGTCCAATTTGGATGAAGGTGAATAGTCCTCTCTTCAGCCAACAGAAGGCAGACTGAAGGTGAAACAAAAATATCTTAGAATTTCCTTATTGGATTTTTTGCCCCAAGTCAAGCCACTGCCAGGCATAGAGCCTGGAACAGAGTTAGGCACTCGGTTACTATTTACTGAATGAAAAAACCTGGTAGGTAGCATTTTAAGAATGGCAAACTCTTGACTGATGCCTAAATGCTGGTCATTGGATTTCTCGGCCAAAAGCTGTATGTCGGAACCAAGTGGGGAGTCTTTTTCATGGGCACATGCCCCACCCCATTAGGACATCCTGGCAGGGTGTCCAGCCATGGGTACTTTGTGAGGTTTCTCAGGTGGTTTAGATACAACCAATCACACACCCGCAGGACCTTGTTTCTCTATGGTTCCTGCCAGTGCTGACATGGTGATGGGTTTTTGACTGGAAATGAGAAGCTGCCTTCGGTCAAATGCCTGATTGTGTAATAAGGGCTGTAAACTCTGATTCCTGTCCTTACAACTGATATTACTACTTGAATTTCTTTAAAAAAATTAAAAAAAAATTTTTTTTAATTTAAATTCAATTTGGTTAACCTGTAGTGTATTATTAGTTTCAGAGGGTAAAACTGATATTATTACTTTAAAAGACAAACCATCAGGTCAGCATTTTCTCAAGCAAGTCCTGTGGAACACACACGCTGTGAGATGCTCTAACGAAAACATTCTGTGGTCAAGACAGGCTCCTGAACCAAATGCTGCCAGCCCGCCCCTCAAATGAGTGAGTCATTCACACTTTAACTGTCATTGTGTGGCACTGTGTCAGTTCTGTGCTAACAAGACCCCTTGAACTCAGTGGTTCCCAAACACGCTGACCCTGGAACCCTGTTATTCACGGGACACCGCTCCCATCCTGTGGAAGCACCACAGCAGGTATGCAGCCCTGACGTGGACAGCCAGCCAGCCAGCCAGAGCCAAACCGGAACGATGTTAACTTCAGGACCATACCAGGTACTCTCGTATCATACCACGTAATAGAAGTACGCATTTCACGTAGCAAATCTGCACTTAATATGCAGGCCTCCGTTCTTGGGGTGCAAATTATTAAAACTATTAAAACTCTCAGCTATAATTATATAATCTTTGTGATAATTAGGCTGTCTGGGTGAACAAAAACTACTTGGGTGTTAAATTCTGTTTGTGGTCATGACATTTGACAGCTTCCTCAGAAAGTAGCCAGGGAACCTTACTGTTTTTCCGGAAGTAAGTCTACCTTGCTTCTACGTAACCCTGCTGGGTGCTCCGCTGTCCTCACATAGCCTTGAAAGGGAAACTGGGCCCAAAATATGGTTCTTCATTTTGGTGATTGGAAACTCCCAACTTTAGCTTAGAGAATACTGGGAGATAAATCTCTTAAGATCACAACTACTAACTCTTACCCCAGAGCTGCTGGTGGCCATATCCCCGGGCACATGGAGCAGCCCTAAAGAATGAGGTAAGACGAGAGGAGAAATGATAGGGAGGGAACCTGAGTTTGAGCCACTAGATCCAGTCAAGCCTACGGCTGTGGCCACCTCTGTTCTTCAAGTTCTATGAGCCAGTTATTATTAACATTTTTGCTTAACCAGTTTGAGTTGTGCTTCTAATAACACTATGAATCATGACTGCTACACCCTTACACTCTCACTCTCACCTACTAATGTCTGTCCCAGAGCCGAAGACACATGTGCTAAAATAAGTCTGTGGGTTAACAGTGTGCACACCAAAGAATGCTTGGTTTCTTAGGAGGCGTAATGGATTTAGAAAACTGTTAACAAAGGAGATGAGACTCCCACGGAGAGGAAGGGGACTGACAGGCACCTTGAGCAAGAAGCAAACATTTCGTTTGGAGTGAAAGGACTAGTGCCTTCTTGAGAAACTAGGCCTAAGGAGTTTATTTATTCAGTCTTGTTATGGGCCAGGGTGTGACACTGGGCAAGACATTTTATTAATGAACAGGATGGAGGGTGCATTTGGAGGTAGAGGAGTCCGGAAGCGTACTAGAAGTTATGGCCACAAGAATCTCTGTCTCCACATAACCACTGAGTGTGAAGAGCTAGACAGCTCCCCAGAAGTGTAGTAATGAAGAGCTAAGGTGGTAGAGGTCTGTTTTCTCAGCCCTTCTTTGTGTTTCTGTGTTAGGACTGATCCTTATTTGAAGGTCATAGGCTTTTTTATACAACAAGGTTCTGTTTGTAATCTTTTTTTATGAACACAAGCTGGGTCCCAGGAACCTCAGGGGCAGGGATGCTCACTAACCTGTCTTGTCCCTCATCTTGGAAGAGGTAGAAACAGGACTCAGTCCTGGGTGTTCTGATGTCCAGGCCATACTCTCTGAGCGTTAAATTTGAGATTTTTAAAATTCATTACAAGGAGATCAACCTGTGAGCTCTAAGGTACCCTGTTATGAACTGCATGTTTTTTGTGTTCCCCCAAAATTCGTGTTGAAGCCCTAACCCCCAGTGCGTCTCTTTGGAGATAGGGCTTCTAAGGAAGTGTTTCAGGTTAAATAAGGTCATAAGAGTGGGGCCCTGATCTGATAAAATCAGTGTCCTTACATGGCTCCAGAGAGCCAGCGCCTCATCTCCTCACACACGCATTAAGGAAAGACAGGTAAGGGCACAGCAAGGGGGTGCTGGCTGCAAGCCAGGAAAAAAGTTCTCACCAGGAAAGGAATTGCCTAGACACTGGATCTTGGACTTCTAGCCTCCAGAACTGGGAGAAAATATATTTTTGATGTTTGAGCTACCCAGTCTATGGTATTTTGTTACGGTAGCCGGAGCAGACTAAGACATGCGCCCCCAATATGATGTCAGTGATGAACATAAGCAGATTAACTATAGGGCACAAAAATAGAAAATGGTGACCTGCTCACCATACTTACATACTGCTACTGCTACCTTCTTGTCTGCTCCCAACCGGGGCAGAGGAATCCTGTTCCTCAGCTCTTCCACGTCCCCCCGTATGGTACAGCTGTGGTTGTAAAAGCGGAACCTGAAGGTCACCCGATGCTGCAGTCTGAGACTCGCTCTGCTCGAAATATCCCCAGACTAGAGCCTCACACACATTACACAATTCAATTCCAAAGTCAACAAGCTTTCCTTGAAAATAGATTTAATCTTCCTCAAATTACAAATGTTCTAAGTCTCGCTCCAAAACCACCTCCAAAGTTCTCCTCTTGACAAATGAATTTTCTGGGGGAAAGTTTTGAGGAGAGTAAAAGAAAACATCACATTTTTTTTTAGTGTTGATCCATCTAAAGGTACATAATCAAAAAATGTCAGTGTCTGACCTGTCCACAAGGTGTCTGGATCATTCCTTCCGAAGGAAAAAGGCAGAGGGGAGAATCACAATCACCGCTGTGATTTGAGAACATTTTTATCTACCATGTCAGTTAACACTGGTAATAATATGCAAAGACCAGTGGCCCTCAAGGGAGGGTTTCATGGAGCAGAGGATAACAGAGAGGAACAGAAACGAGGACAGGGGATGCCTTCTGAGAAGACTTATTTGTGTCCAGCTGTTCATAACAGGCCAAGAGTGAAAAATCGACATTCTGTGATCAGTGACTTTACAGACAAGCTCAAGTTCTCGCTTTCTGGCACTACTGACATTCCCACCATTCTAGCTTCCAAATTCTAGAAAAAGAGAAAAAGATCCACAAAAATAGAGGATGTCGGAACTGCGCATTCTGTGCCCAGAGGAATGGCACCAGTTACGTCAATGCAGGGAGGCCGGCACGCGCAGGGGATGCTCTGCGCCAAGGGCCCTGCGGGCTAGTGGCGCTTCGCTTCCCCCGGTGCAGCTCCAAGCACAGGGCTCCGAGCACAGCTGACCTACTTGGCCAT